GAGAGAGGCAGAGACACAGAGAGACAAAGACACAGAGAGACAGAGACACAGAGAGAGACAGAGAGCGTCAGAGACACAGACAGAGACAGACTCAGAGACACAGAGAGAGACAGAAACACAGAGAGTCAGAGACACAGAGAGACACAGAGGGAGAGTCATGGAAAGAAACAGACACAAACACAAAGAGAGATAGTCAGAGACAGAGAGACAGAGAGAGACACAAACACAAAGAGAAACAGAGACAGACACAGAGACAGAGAGACAAGGACAGAGAAAGGATGGGGGAGGGAGAGAGGGAGCAAGAGAGTAACTCCCAGCTGATTACACACAGCAAAGAGAGAATTAGTGAATAGGGAAAAAAAAAAAAAAGCCGAGAAAAACCAACCAGAATGCGGCACAGACACCAGCGAGGAGGACAGTGCACAGCAGAGGGCCACGCGGACGGTGAGAGGTCCAACGCCCGCGTCCTGGAGCCCAGAAGGTGGGAGCAGGGCGGGACCCTGGTGGCCCCACAACTGTTTCCCGAGGCTGCAAATCACACAGACCTGGAGCTTGAAATGACACAAATGCATCCCCAGCAGTTCGAGAGGCTGGAGCTCTGACGTGGCCTCCCCGGGCTAACTTCAAGGCATCCGCAGGGCTGTTTCTTCTGCAGGCTGTGGGGGCTTCACTTCCTACCTTTCCCAGCTTCCAGTGGCTACCAGCTACTCAGCTGTGGCCCCTCCTCCGTCTTCAAACCCAGCTGCAAGGCGTCTTCCCTCCTCTCCCACCCTCTATCCCCTCCCATAGGGACCCTGGTGAGACCCCGGACCCACCCAGATGACCAGGATGATTTCTCACCTCAAGACCCTCAGCTGGCCCCCTCTGCACAGCCCTTCGCAGTGACGTCATGGTGCAGGCCCCCGGAGTGAGGACGTAGACAGCTTCCAAGCGCTTGTTCGGCCTATCAGACATCAAGGCTGTTTAACGTCTTCCTGGAGGTCCTTGCCAGCCCCGTAAGCCAGGACAAGAGGTAAAAGGATGAGGGTTAGGAAGGAACCACAAAGACATCCTACCTCCACGACAGAGCCCTGACCCCGGCCCTGGCACTGTGTTCCCAGCCACGTTCCTGAGCCACTGCCCGGCCCGGCCTGGGGACAGCAGCAGGCGTTGCCCCTAAGGCTCAGGGTGTCCCCTTCACCCTGCTGTGAAGGAACACCAGAGGCTGGGCGATTCTTAAAGTAAAGAAGTTTAATCGGCTCCCGGTTCTGCAGACTCTACAGGAAGTGTGGTGCTGGCATCTGCTTGGCTTCCGGGGAGGCCCCAGGAAACCCACAATCCTGATGGAAGAGAAGGGGGAGCAGGCGCGTCACATGGTGAAAGCAGGAGCAAGGCAGGGAGGTGCCGCACACCTTTAAACAGCCAGGTCATGGGGGAACTCGCTGTCGTGAGGACAGCACCAAGGCGAACGCAGTAAACCCTTCATGAGAATCCGCCCCATAATCCAGTTACCTCCCACCAGGCCCACCTCCAACACTGGGAATTACATACAGTTCCACATAAGATTTGGGAGGGGACACAGATCCAAACCATATAGGGGTGGAAGGAAGGAAAAGAGGCTGGGAGAGCAGCCGTCAGGAGTGCGGAGGTGGGGCAGGAGCTCAGGAGCCGGTCGGGTGCCAGGGGAGCCGCCCGTGGTGGGAGGAATCTAGGGGGTGATCTCTCTGGAGGGGGCTGGTCTCTCTGGAGGCACAGGCCTCCCAGGATGCCAGAGGAACTCCCAGTGCAGTAGGAGGAAAGTGCACAGCAACCCCCCACCAGCAGACCCCAGATGTCCTGAACCCTTGGCAGGTCCCGCTGCAGTTGGGGCAGGGGCAGGAGGGCAGGAGGAAGGGCTCAACCTGCCCTGAGCCAGGCAGCCTCCCCAAACACCCTCTCCCAGCCTGGGGGATCACACCTGGCAGAGCCTTCCCCGGTTCTGAGCAGTTGCCCAGACCTGGAGGAGCCAGTGCCTTCTCAGGTGGGACCAGGGCTCCGAGGCCCTGGCTCCTTCAGGACCCAACCCCAGCTTGGAGGGTGCCCCAGCCGCAGACAGCCCAGGATGTCGAGAGGCTCTGCCACAGCGACTGGAGCTCCTGGGGACCTCCAGCCCAAGTCGGTCTGACACGAGGTTGAGGCTGCACACGGCCAGGCAGTGACGGCCAGGAACCCCCAGGGTCTGAGGCCCATGTGGACAGACGGACGGACGGACAGACAGAGGGCAAAGGCGGGAAGGTGTGCTGCTTCCTAGGCTGCCGCAACAAATCTCACTGACCGACAGCTGAAGCGATGGAAATGTGTCCTCTCGCAGCTCTGGAGGCCGAGTCTGAAGCCAAGGGTGACAGGCCCGCACCCTCTCTGAAGCCTCCAGCGCAGGGTCCTTCAGCCTCTTCCAGCTCTGAGCAGCCCCTGTGGTTGGTGGTGGCGTCACTGCAGCCTCTGCCTCCACCTTCACACGGCTTCTCCCTGCGTCTGTGGCTCACAAGGACAGTCATCACTGGGCTAAACCCACTGCAATCCAGTATGACCTCCTCTTACTCCATCATGTCTGCAAAGGCCTTACTTCCAATAAGGTAGCAGGCTGAGCTTCCAGAGGGACACGAATTTGGGGACGCCGCTCACCCCAGTATAGAAGCAAATGAAGAAGAATGGGCCGTGCAGAGCCCCACTGGGCTCCACAGCTTCCAGAACCAGAGGCCTGTGGCTCCTTTGGTTCAGATCTGAAGGCAGAAGAGTGGACTGTGATGACCCTGCTAGCCACAAGCCAGGGCACACGCGTGACACGATGCACCCAGCACGTGATCTACACGGGCCACGAGCCAGGACACACGCATGACAGGATGCACCCAGCACGTGATCTACACGGGCCACAAGCCAGGGCACACGCGTGATAGGATGCACCCAGCATGTGACCTATACATGCGTCACAAGCCAGTACACATACATGCATGACACAGTGCACCCCGTACATGACCTACACACGTGCCACAAGCCAGGACACACATGTGACACAATGCACGCAGCACGTGATCTACATGTGCACCACGAGCCAGGACACACACATGACAGGATGCACCCAGCACACAACCTACACGTGCCGTGAGCCAGAACACACGCATGACAGGATGCACCCAGCCACACCACCTACACACACGCCACAAGGCAGGACACACGCATGGCACGATGCACCCAGCACATGATCTACACATGCCACGAGCCAGGACACACGCATGACAGGATGCACCCAGCCACACCACCTACACACACACGCCACAAGGCAGGACACACGCATGACAGGATGCACCCAACACGTGATCTACACGTGCGCCCTAGATTCCCATGTTGAAATATTAACCCCAAGGTGATAAGGTCAGGAGGTGGGGCCTCCTGGGAGGGTGGAGCCCTCATGAATGGGATAGTGTCCCATACAGGAGACCCAGGAGAGACCTCCCTCCCACCGTGTGTGACACAGCCAGAGGCCGCCATCCATGAGCCAGAAACAGGGCCCTTACCAGACACGGAGTCTGCTCTCATGATCACAGACTTTGACCTTGGACTTTGAGCCTCCAGAACCATAAGAAATACATTTCTGTTGTTTCCAAGCCCCCTGGTCTATATATTTCATTTTAGCAGCTCCAAGGCACTAAGACACAGACCCCCTAAAACCAGCACTGCCAGGGCCTGGGCAAGGGGCCCCTCCTATGACGGGCTGAGGCTGCCTGAGGTGGGGAGGGGCCCGGGGTGATTGTGGGAACTCAGGGCTCTCATGGGCCCCAGATCCAGGCCCCCATCCTGCCCCTGCCTGGAACCCAGTGGTGGCCCCTCTCAGGCAGGAGCCCTCCCAGCAGAGCAGTTGCTGGGGAAAAGGGGGCCGCAAGGGGAGGTCACCTCTGCTCCCCTGGGGACCTTCGGCGACTCAGAGACCACCTGGATGCCCCTCACTGCTGGGGGCTGGCCGTGGGTCCCCGCCCTTGAGAATGGTCACCGAAGCCAGCCCAAGGGGTGACCAGACCCAGTGACATGCAAAGGAGCCCATCACACACAATTCAGGGCCAGGAAGAAGGTGGCACACGTGTGCACCCCCCGGCCGGGCCGTCGTCCGCGGGCGTGGCAGCAGGCTGGGCAGGAGCACTTGAAGCCAGAAGGAAAGGCCCGTGGAGAGAGGGGCCCAGGGCTCACTTCTATTTTTTCTTTATATTTTCTTTATAGCTTTCTACATTTTCCAGATTTTTTTTTCCTTCTTTTTTTTTTTTTTTTTTTTGGAGTCTCACTCGGTCGCCCAGGCTGGAGTGCAGTGGCACAATCTTGGCTCACTGCAACCTCCGCCTCCTAGGTTAAAGTGATTCTCCTGCCTCAGCCTCCCAAGTAGCTGAGATTACAGGTGCCCACCACGATGCCCAGCTAATTTTTGTATTTTTAGTAGAGACGGGATTTCACCACGTTGGCCAAGCTGGTCTCGACTTCCTGACCTCAGGTGATCCACCTGCCTCGACGTCCCAAAGTGCTGGGATTATAGGCGTGAGCCACTGTGCCCGGCTCATTTTCCAGATTTTCTACAGTAAGCACATGTTGCTTTTGTCATCAGCAATGAAGACTTTAAAAGGAGAATAAATAAAAAGGAACTTCCCTGGGGAAACAGCCCCAGTGGAGCCCAAGCCCTCTGCAGGGTGGGGTCAGGGGGGCGGGACACAGGGCTGGTCCTGGAAGGTGACCCCCTCCTGGTGTCCAGCTCTGCGGGGAGAGGCCCTGCCTCCTACTCCTCTGGTAGGAAGTTCAGAGAGTGCAGCAGACCACTTCCAATCACCGCACAGGAGGCCAAGGGCGGAAGCCGCTTCCTCCCTCCTGCCCTCCCTCTGCTGGCCCCGGGATGTTTAGAAGCAGAGCTTTGCCAAGGCAGTGAGATTTTGGGATGGGGGTCAGAGAAGCGGGTTAGAGCAGAGCTCCCCTCCCCAGGGCTGGAACCTGAAAAGGAAAGAAACGTCTACCCCGACACAAGCACGATTCCTTTATTTCGAGCCAGAAAGCAGCCAACAAGCAAGTGCTGCCACCCACAACACCCTGGGCTACCTGCAGTCCTGTGCCTGACCCTGCAGCCTCGGGAGGGAGCTGTGGGGGGTCGCCCAGGGCCCACTTCCTGCCCCTACCCTGCCCTGCTCACTCCCAGCCGCTGTTCCCCTTCTCAAAGAGCAACCCCTGCTTGAGAACTCTGAGGAGAAACTTGCTTCTAATCCACAGGATTCTGCACTAAGAGCCCCCCCACATCCATCCTGGGGCACCCCAGCATATTCCACCCCTCTGCCCCGGGCACCCAAGGGGCATGGGCACGGCCAGAAGGCCTGTCAGGAGGGCCAGCAGCACCCCCGAGGCTTGTCCCCAAGGTTGGGCGGCTCGGGGCTGGTGGGCACGTTCTCCAGGACCTCACGTAGGGAGAATGTGCAAAAGGAAATCTCATCATAGGAGGTCCTGGCCCCACTCTCGTACAGGCAGGCGAAAACCAGGCCCCCCTCAGGGGCCGGCCCGACGGACGCCAGGTCGGAGTAGCCGCTGGGGCCCTCGTAGATCACCCAGGGCTCTGTCCAGCTGTGCGGGTCCAGCGGGGCCTGGCTCAGCCGGATACCCATGTGCAGCCGAGCCCTGCGCCCCACTGGGTGGGAGTACAGCAGCCACGTGGGGCTCTGGGGCGGGGCAGCAAAGGGCATGGGGAGCGCTAGGGTCCAGGACCCCACATCCCCACTGACCCCAGGCCTGGGGCCAGGCTGCCTGGGGCTGTCCCCCTGAGGCTGCAGATGGCTGCAGGGCCCACCAGGCAGCTGGCCTCCATGGGGGTCTCTGGCAGCCTCCTCTAGGGGTTCATGGACTCCAGGACCAAGGCGTGGAGGGTGAAGGGGACTCCCGGGGCCCACTGACCAACCGTCATCCCATGGCCTGCTGGGGGCGGGGGCTGGGAAGCCCACGATGCTGCCCTGGCAGCCCCAGGCAGTCTCGGGCAGGGAAACCACGCGCTCTGCAGGCAGGAAGGAGGTGCCCTCGTCAGTGCTGAGTGCCTGCACGCGGCTGCCCAGGGTGCTCCGGGCATTGCAGTAGAGGAAGCTGCCGGCCTGTCCACCATCCACTGCTGCCAGTTGGCACTCGCCCGAGCGCAGGTTGGGCACGAGGCCTCCACAGCGCCAGGTGCGGCCGTGGTCATCGCTGTAGAAGGCGAAGGAGTGGGGGCTGGTCCGGCAGATCTTGCCAAAACACTCTCGGCGGTCCACGCGGTAGGTGTAGGCGGGCACCAGCAGGCGGCCTGAGGGCAGCTGCACGCCGTGGCCGGGACCCACGGCGAACGTGGCCCAGTCTGTGGGGAGGAGGGCGGAGGTGGGAGGGGCTGCTGAGTCCCCGAGGTTGTGGGGGAGCGGATGGAGGAAGGCACAGGGGTCGGGGAAGGCACAGGGGTCGGGGAAGGCACAGGGGTTGGGGAAGGAGGGGCTGGTGCCTCGGGTTAGGACCGTCGCACTCTGACCAGCCTTCCACACAACTCATCGCAGCCGCCCTGAGTCCTCCCAGGCTGACAAGCCTCTCCCAGCCCCTAGCAGCCGCGCCCAGGTGGACGGCACCCAGGGAGGCTGGCGAGCACTGCCCATACAGATACAGCGGAGGGCGGGCAGGGGGAGTGAGGCCCTGCGGTGGGGTCCTGGGGTCCGCCATGTATCTGCTCCACTCCCTGCTGTGGCTCCCACAGGCCAGGGTCAGGTGGCCACAGAGGACGGGGTGGAGGGAAAGCCGTGGCGAGGCCTGGCCAGGCCCTGGGCAGGGTGAGAAGGGAGGAAAGAATAAGAGGAAGGGGTGGGGCTGTTGGTTTGGGAGCTGAGAGACACCTCAGCATTCAGCCTTCTCCTCTGCAGGTAAAGGGATGACCCGGGGGGATGAGAGTCTGATCAGCCATAGAGGGCCTGCTCCTGCCCACCGGATGGACTGGGTGGCGACCAGTACCCATTTGCCTGGGATGGGAGGCCCAGGACAGTCCTGGGGAGAGGGCTGGTTGGTTCCCTTGTGGCTGGAGGCAGGGGCGGGGGTGGGGCAGAATGGACATTTCCAGCTGGAATCTCCCTTCCGTGTGGACCGTGGCCAATCCGAGGGACCCAGACTGGCACCCTGCCCGCCTACCCTGCACGGCACCACCGATGGCCTCCTCGGTGAGGTCCCGGGCGCTGCCCCACGAGAGGCCGGCGTCACGGCTGGCCACGTAGCAGAGGCGTGCGGCGTTCCTTCCCGTGGCGATCTGCACGGCCTCGGGCGTGTGGCCCAGCACCGCGATGAAGAAGAGGAAGACGGTGCCTGTGCCAGTGTCGTGCACGGGGCAGGGGTTCATGGACCGGTGCTCTGCCAGGGCCGCTGTCCCCAGCACCTGCAGGGCGCCCCACTGCCCAGAGGAGGAAGTGCCACTGACTAGGATGTCCAGGGATGTGGGCACAGCCCCCCGTGGGGCACCCGAGACAGCTGAGCCTGGTTTGCTCATCTCTATCTCGGGCACCCGCCTGCCACCGCCACCCCCGCCCCTGTCCCTGGGTGTGCAGCCCCAGTGGGCCCCGCCACTCACCCGCACGGAGCCCCCGGCCCGCGTGCCCCTCCTCAGCACCAGGCGGTGGGCATGGGAGTCATCGGGGCTGAGCCGCTGCTCCACAAAGGCCAGCAGGGTGGGCCCGGGGGGCACGGGGAGCAGCGAGGGCACGCGGTAGGTCAGGCCGGTCCTCTCCCGCTCAAAGAGCACTGTCCGTGAAGGGGTATGAGGGGCCCCCATGCTCTGCTGGTCAGTACAGGGCCACAGGTCAGCAAGGCAGGCCCAGGGAGCCCCACATTCGCTCCTCCTCTGGATTGGGGAAGGGGCTCAGGAGGTGCAGACAGCTCCTGCCCACGCCTAGGGCTCTTCCTGTACCCACCTTGGGGTCAGCCCTGTTTCTGACTCCCTCACCCCAGATCTGGAGCAGCCCCTCCCCAGTCCACCCTCACAACCCCTGTACCCCAAATGTCTGTGGAATCAGACCTTCCCCTCTCAACACGGCTCTGGGAGTTGACCCTCGGCCAGGCTAGTTGGTGCGGAGGTGCAGGGGAGGCTGGCCGGAGAGCCCCGGGACCCTGCCAGCCATGTGCCCAGGACACAGGGTCATCCCGGAATTCACCCAGCAGGAGGTCATGTGGACAATCAGGACCCAAAACCTCGAGCAAGGAGAGGCTCGGTGTCCCCAGAATAGAGGCCACAGCAGACAGAGACACAAAGAGGTGAGCTCACAGGGACTGCTGGGAGCCATGGGGACAGGGGACCCGCTCCCACTTCCTGAATGTCATCGGGTCGCCCATAGCCAGGGATCCTGCAGGGGACAGGTGCTCGGTGATCAGACCCCTGCCTGCAGGCAGCTGGCCCCATAGTGCTCCCACCCCACTGCCTGGTGCTTTGCACCTGCAGGCCCTGACCTGAGAAGCACCCACAGGAATCAGAAGCCCCAAAGCTGAGTGGGGCTCCCAGACAACACCTACCAGGGCAGGGCCCGGGTGAGCGGGCATTTGGGGCACATATGGGGTCTGCTTGCTGCAGGCGGGACCTGCCTGGGGGTCTCTCTGTCTGACCGCACAAAGCCAGGCCGGGCCGTGCGTGAGCACGCACAGCCCGGCACAGGGAGGTGGCGCAGCTGCAGACAGGTGGGAACGCTGGTACCCACCGTGCAGGACTCGGAGCGGTCAGAGCTATGGCCAGTCACCCAGGCTGGGCACACGGGGCACCTGGATGGGAGGCTAAGGGGAGGAGGGAGGAGGGAGATGGCCGGATGCTGAACACCGCACCTGGCCAGGGCACAACGCCTGCCTACAACGGGGACCCACGCTCACTCACGAGTCAGGTGGGACCGATGGAGACCCAGGTAAAGGCGCAACACTCGTGCAAAACCCGGGCAGGCCTTGCCCCTACACCTGAGGCCCAAACAGACAGCTCCACCTCCAGCCACCTCTGCCCTGGGCCGCCGGTTCCTGAAAGGCTCTTGGCTAGGACAGCTGGCCGGCCCCTTCCTGCTGCTCCCCACCACCAGTGTGCGGCTTCTGAGAGCAGCTTCCTGTCCCCAAGAAGCCCCTGGCTCTGCTCTCAAAGGGCAATTGTGCCCAAGCGGGAAGCAGGTGCAGACGCCACGTGTCCCTCTGGGCTGAGCAGGCACAAGCAAGACATTCTCTCGGCACTTGGCTCCCTCCCCAAGGCCCGGGCCACAGGAGCCGGCGTCAGCACCCCCTGCAGACACGAGGCCCAGGCCCACTCCTGGGGACAGAGAGGGAGGGAAGGAGGCTCCAGAAACCAGCTGGTCACTCCCCTCGTTGCACAGAGGGGAAACTGAGGCCCACAGAGAGGACAAGGCTGCCACACACTTGGCTTGGGGTATCCTTGCCACAGCCAGGCCCTGAGTTCCACAGAGCCTCTGTGTCCTCAGCAGGCCCCTCCGTCTCAGAGGCCAGTCCTGCTCAGTGCGGCCAGTTCCCTGGGTTCCACAGAGCCTCTGTGTCCTCAGCAGGCCCCTCCGTCTCAGAGGCCAGCCCTGCTCAGTGCGGCCAGTTCAGCATGTTCCAGAGGTTTGGCTTGACGGGGACGGCTGTGTCCTGGACATTAACCAGTGCCCCCGCCCTCCCTGACAGGGCCCTTCTCAGGGGTGTGGAGTCACAGAAAGGGAAACCAAGGCCTGGGGGAGATGGGACCTCCAGGAGAACCTGGCCTTCTGGCCCCTGGACCCCTGGACCGGTTGTAGGGTTCACTCTGGCTTGGCAGGGAGCCATCACAGACCCCCCACCCCCACCCCTCGCAGCCCATCCTGTGTGGGCCCCCCTAGAGCCCTGAGGTCAGCCCAGGCCCTCCGCACACACCCTCTGGGGTCAGCACTTCTTGTCCTGGGACCCGTCAGGTGTAGGAACACCTTGGCGAGGGGCATTCACATGCGCCCACGTAAAGTGCAGAGGCCAAAGCTTTGCGCAGGATCCCGGCGGGGGCCCTCGGCAGCTCTGACCCTCAGCCTGCGCTGTGAACGTCCTGTGCCCTGGCCAGGGTGAAGACTCCAGCCACAGACCTTTCACCTGGTAGAGAGTCCCCGACCAGCCCATCTGCAGAACGACCTGGTGGGCTGGCGCCGGCCCCCTGCATTGGGCCTCTCACAACCCGTCTGCCTCCATCCCATGCCCTGAATCTGCCCCCAGGAACCCTCAGTGTCACACCCACCCTGTGGGCCAGGAAACTGTCCCATTGGGAGACACGTGTGGGACCTCTTGTTGGAGGGGCCCTCAGAATCCATGCAGCCCGCCCCTTGTTTGAGAGCTGAGGAGCCACCCTGGGGTTGGCAAGCGGTGGGACTCGTCCAGCACCCCCAGACAGAGGAGCCGGCCAGCGGGACAGATCCCTCAGGAGCGGGTCCTGGCCCCGAGCGCCAGGGTAGAGGGGTGAGGGCACTGGGGGTGCAAAGGGCAGGGACTCACCGGCCACCTCGGGAAGGCTGCAGAGCTCATCATGGGTGGCTGCCTCGCCTGACCCAGAGCAGAGACAAGGGCCCACTGTGCGGGCAGCAGGCCAGGGAGCTGGCCACGTCCCAGGGCTACGTCAGGACCCTGGACACTCCCACGGTGGCACAGCTCCACTGAAGCCCAGAGCGGGGCCAGGGGTGCAGATGGGCACCCACAAGCCACACAGATGCCTGGGGCCAGCACAGGCTCCCCTCTGCAGGTCGACACGCTCAACACTGGGGTGCTGAGGACACAGGGATGTGCCCTCCAACAAGGGCTGTGGTGAGGCCACAGTGGACCTCCCAGGGAGACACAGGGGTCTGCTGCTCAAGAGATGCAGCCCTGGCAGGAGGGCTCCGTGAGTGGACCTCCCAGGGGGACACAGGGGTCTGCTGCTCAAGAGATGCAGCCCTGGCAGGAGGGCTCCGTGAGTGCACACTCTCTTCCGGGCTTCCTGGGTGCGGGGCCTCCCCTGGCACAGCACAGCCCCTCACAGCACAGGACAGTGGCCCCTGGGGCCTTGCTGGGCTCCAGCTCCGTATCTGTGCTTCTGGTAGGCCAGCACCCCATCACCATGTCCTGTGCCTCTCAGGGCCCAGGGTGACCCCTCCCCAGCACAGCTGCCCCTGCAGGACTCCTGCCAGCCCCATTCATGCTGGCCTGACCCCGGCCTGCCATTTTGGAGGCAGCCTTGGTAACCGATGCTCAAATGACCACTGCCCAGGCCAGAATCTCAGAGGAGACCACAGGTCCCCAGTGCGCTCTGATGGGGCAGCCTCTGCGGGGGCTCCCTGGGCCCTGAACACCCTCCCTTCTCACTGTCCCTCCCTCCCCTGCGAAGGGCGTCCTCAACTGCTTCTGAAACCTGGGGGGCTGTGGTGGGAAACAGGGAGGTCATGTGGTTTCCAGGCTGAGATTATAAACCTGCTGCGTCCCTCCAGGTCTTGGAGCCTGAGGGGATTTACTGGGGGGAGCTGGGAGGGAGCCGGGGAGGATGTGGGAGAGAAGGAAGTGGGAGGAGTGGGCCCCAGCTCCTTCCGACTCATCTGCGTGCCCCCCGTGGGCCATGTGACCCCTGTGGGCCGCTCACCAGTGCCCTGTGCACTCGCAACCCCCAGAGGGGCGTACCGAGTCCAGGCAACTTGGCCGTTGTACACATCCTCCTGCTCACAGCCAAGAATACTGGGGCAGGTGGGTGGGAAGGGACAACCTCCCCACCTCTCAGAAGCCCCACCCCAGCCCAACCAGAACTGGGTGGCCCATCTCCCTTCTCCTGTCCCCCAAGTCTGGGCCTGGTGGAGTCTGACCAGGGCCATCCCCTAAGCACCCAGGCTCATAGGGAAACGGGGCCTCCAAGCCCCCACGTCACCTTGCAAAGCCCCCTCCTGGGCCACCCTGAGACAGAGGCTGGGTCTGGAGCAGGGCTGTCTGACCAGGGTGTGCCCACAGAGCTGGGATGGGGGGCAGGCCTCACTCCCTCTGCTTGAGGCTTTTCAAGCCCACTTTTTTCAATCTAGAGATTTCACAGAAAAGCCCGTGTTTTCAGCTTCTCCTGAAAAGCCAGATTTGCCCTCAGGTGCCACCTCCTTCCCCTGGGTATCTCTGCCTGGACAAGCCACTGTCTACCTGGGGTATATGCCAGCCACGGGTCCCACCACCCCCAACTGTCACCCCGTGGCCCATGGCTGCTCAGAGGTCCCTGGGCACATCTGAGGCTCTGTCCCTGTGGGATGAAAGCCACCGGGAGGAAGCTTTCCTTAACTGCCTTCGTGAGCTCTGGCAGCCGAGGGGCCACGCTGACCCCAGCATCACACGGAAGGCTGGGACGTGTCCCCTCCCCAAAAGCAGTTTCGGCCACACTGTGTTCCCCCTTTCACGGCTGCACGATGTGGCGGCATTTTAACCGCCCCTTCTCAATGCACAACCCGGACAGGCTGTTCTCAACACTCTACTGCAAACCACACACCATTTTACGTCGCCAGAAAGACCCCAAATTTCCATTCAAAAAGATGGTACCAGTTTCAGTTCCCACCAACCTCGAAGGCAGAGACAAAAGGACAGTGTGCCCCTCCTGTAACTTCATTTCTTCGGCGCCTGAAGCTGAGGGCAGAGTCCATGCCTGGGCACAGGGCTGCCACCGCAGCGGCCACCGCCCCAACCCTCGCCCGTCCTCCCAGAGACGACCTGCGCTCTGCTCGGGGACAGGGCTGCCACTGCAGTGGCCACCGCCCCAACCCTCGCTCGTCCTCCCAGAGACGACCTGCGCTCTGCTCGGGGACAGGGCTGCCACCGCCCCCAACCCTCGCCCGTCCTCCCAGAGACGACCTGCGCTCTGCTCGGGGACAGGGCTGCCACCGCAGCGGCCACCACCCCAACCCTCGCCCGTCCTCCCAGAGATGACCTGCGCTGTGTTCGGGGACAGGGCTGCCACTGCAGCGGCCACCGCCCCCAACCCTCGCCCGTCCTCCCAGAGACGACCTGAGCTCTGCTCAGAAGCAGACCTCCTCCTGCTGGGCTCACTCGGGCCCGGTGTGCCAAGGGGGCCTGGTTTTGGGGCCGGCAGGTTCTGCTTGATGCTCAGAGGGTAACTGGATGCTGAAAACCGTGAGTCTTTCTTCAACTCAGGGGAATGTTTCCACGGCAGGCCAGGCCTCACCGACGCAGGCCTCCGTGACAACTGTCCGGCACTGACTGAGGGTGAAGTGAAATATTAGAAGCTGAGAGCCAGCGCCTCATACAAAGCTGGGAAGTAACAAAAGCCCACCAAGAGTTCTGCCCAGGGCTTTCCCGGGCCTTGAAGCATGACGAGATCATGAAGGAATTCTTAACAGGACCCGTTTAGTATTAAACAGGTTTTATTGGGGAGGGTCTGAAAAAACTCCCCAGGCCTCTACAAACAAGTTTACTGGGCTCTGAAGGAACTCCCCAAACCTCCATGATTTAGCAGAAGACAAGATAAGGGTAAACACCTGGACCCATTTAGATCAAGTAAATTTACTGAGGTTCCAGAGGAAGATCTTCAGGACTCGAACTTAGTTATAGATTAGAAGAATTTAATCATGTATGTCTTTAGATGAATCACACTTACACGTAGACATAGAGCCTAGAAGGTTTATAAGCTCTGGAAAAAAACTGTAATCTGGAGTTAAGTCTGGTAATCGTTTCTGGGCCATCTCCCTGTAACCAGTTACAGAAATAAAATCTCTCTTCTTCCCCAGTTCATCTGCATCTCGCTATCGGGCCTCGGGAAGGAGCAGCCCGACCCTGGGTGTGGTCCGGGAATGTTTTGTTCTCCGCGTGACCTGCTTTCTCATCTGTGGTCTTCTCTGTCTTCCGGGACTCCTGTTGTTGGCACGTGGGCTCCTCCAGGGCCACTCTCCCTTTACCTGGCGGAATCCCCTCCTGTGGCTTCCCTGGGCTGAGAGGGGAGGGAGGGTGGGCGGCCTGCAGGAGTCCCTGGGCTGAGAGGGGAGGGAGGGTGGGCGGCCTGCAGGAGTCCCTGGGCTAAGCGGGGAGGGTGGGCGGCCTGCAGAGGTCCCTGGGCTGAGCCGGGAGGGAGGGTGGCCTGCAGAGGTCCCTGGGCTGAGGAGGGAGGGTGACCTGCTGAGGTCCCTGGCTGACTCTGACTCAGTGGAGCTCGTGCCATTCTTCACAGCCGACTCTCACTGAAAATTCACTCTTCCTGAAGCTCCCCCATTACACTGGGGTCCGAGGGAGCTGCCTATGCTGCTGGTTTGGGTTATCTCTCTTCTTTGAAATACTGGTTCCCTGCCCCCCCAAAAAAAGCAAGGACACACCTAGACCTGCAGGCCTAGATCCACTGCTGGGGTCTCAACCTCCAGGCTGGCGTGCAGCAGAGTAGCTGCGTTTCCTGGGTGCCCCAGGCATCGGCTGGTCCCAGCATGTGCACCCCTTTACCCGCTAAGCCCCTGGCAGCCAGGGATCACGTCCTGCCAGGCAGGAAGGCTCTGTCCCTCCGTGTGAATGACGAAGAGGGGTGCCCACAGCTGCCCTCTGGCACCACACCGAACATGGTCTCCAAGGCAACCAAGGGTACGTGGACCCCCCAACCATTCCTTTGGCAAGTGAGACGTCCTCTCCTTCACGGGGCATTAGGGGCTGACCAGCAGGGGTCGTGGAGCCGAGCTAGAGTTCTGGTCTTGTGAGCAGCTGTGCCATCTCTGTAGAAAACGTCCTTCCATCAGAACCAAACCTCCTGCAGCTAAAGATGGGGAGCTGTTCGGGAGCGGCTGACCCCTGGCCCCTGCCCCATTTCCGGGCTGGTCTTTGTGGCACTGCCTGTGCCTGCAGCTGTCTCTGGGACCAGCACCTTGTTGCCAGCGCCGGGAAATTCAGGGGAGCCACTCTGAGTTCCTCCGAGGACCCACAGCCCCAGTGCCCAGGACCCTCAGGAGACCCGGGGCTCACGGGCATGCGCGTCCTGCCGGGCAGGTGCTGACCTGCCATCCAGCTTCCCCTACTCCCCCGCCCTCCTGTTCAGTCCTATTCAGTGAACAGAGGCACAGCCTCGGACCCGGGGGCGGGGGGAGGGGGGCTGCCGCCTGGGCTCAGGGCGCTCTCTGGGAGGGATCTGGGCGGATCGTCGGGGTGGGCGGCTCCTTACTGGGGTCTCCATCCTCTTCATTTTAGAGCCGTAGCCGGCGGGCCTGGGTTTCCCAACGCCCCAGAAGCCCTGCGAGGATCCCCGGCCTCCCCGGTGACGGCGGAGAGAGGGGCTGCTGTCCGCAGGAGGCCCCGACCCCGGCCCCGGCCCCTCTACTCCCCCAGGAACGGGATGTTCTTGCGGGGCTTCTCCGGGAACTGCAGGGCGTACAGGCGGGCCATGTACTGGAGCTCAGGCATCACCAGCCTCTGGCACACGCGCAGCGTCTGGTTGTCCAGGCCCGGCCGGAGGTTGTAGCCCAGGATGTCGGCCCTGCCGGGCTGGTAGGGGCGCAGGCGCGGGTCTCTGATCTGCGTGCGGTTCTTGGGCGCGCCGCCGTCCTGCAGGCACAGGGTCGCGAGTTCGCGCCTCCGGGCGCGCAGCCGCTCCACCTCCCCGCGCAGCCGCCGCGGCCCCAGCTCGGCGCGCAGCTGCCCCCAGAGGCTGCGGTTGAAATGCTCGTACAGGCGCCAGTCCAGCGCGCACCAGCTCCGCGCGCGCTCCCGGGTCTCGGGCGCCAGGCGGGTCACGGAGCGCGCGCTGCGGGCGTTGATCCTGAAGGCCACCACGTCGTCCAGCGCCCAGCGCAGCCGGCGCCGCAGCAGCACCAGCGACTCGTCCAGGTGCTCGGCGATGAGCACCAGCTGGAAGCGCCGCTCCACCTCCGCGATGCGCGCGCGCACGTAGCCCTCCTCGCGCGGCGCGTTGGGGTCGAAGCCGAAGTCGAACCACATGTTGTTCTTGGCGTAGACGTTCTTGAGGAGGCTGTCGTTGTAGAACGTCCGCGGCGAGGCCAGGAACGCGTCCAGGCTCGGGGCGCGCAGGAAGGCGGGGGTGTAGGTTTTGTAGTAGATGAAGGAGGACTCCAGCTGGAACACGGGGTTCCTCAGGATGGAGAAGTAGAAGGTGTTGTTGGGCATGACTTTCTGCACCTGTGTGGCGACAGAGAGGCGGGCTGCGGACCGCGGGCCCGGGCCAGGGTGGCCCACCCGCGGGGAGGAGGCGCGTCCTGGCCACACCCGCTCGGGGAGCCCCCCATCCACACATCTGCGGAGGGACCGGGGCCTGGGACCTCCTCGTGCAGTAGCTGCGGGAGCAGAGCCAGGGCCACACGCAGGCCCTGTAGCACGGTCACTGGTTCCCTGGGGCCCAAAACAGAGGCCAAGGACGCCAGGATGGGGCCTCAGCAGGAGGAGGGAGGAGGAGCTCCCAATGGCACCTCGAGAAGACGCAGAGGCCTGTAGGGGTGGGATGCTGTGGGGCACAGACCCAACACGAAGGGCCCTCCTCGGGCCCCTGGCACAGGGGTCCTTCAGCACTCCACCAGCTGCCAGGCCAGGGTGACACCCACCTAACAGACAAAGAAACTGAGGCCCAGAGAAGGCCCATGACCCGGGTTCCCCGCAGGGTGGGTCTGGACTTACCCTCACTTGTGCCCCCTCAGAGGTCCTGGAGGATATACCCCACCCACAGAAGGTAAAGCCATGCAGAAAGTCACGCCCAGCTACACCGCTGGCTTCTCCATCCTCAGAAACCCAGGGAGAGAACAGTGGGAGGCCTCCTCTCTGCTCCCACCCTCTTCCTTTCCTCTCCTCCTGACCCCTCCTCCTCCCTCTGCCCCACGGCCCCCACCTCACAGCACACCCAAGCTGCCCCGCTCTCTGCCCACCACGTCTCCCCACCGGGCCTCCCTCTGGCCTCACCTTGTCACCTAGCCTCTGCTGGCCGTTCTCCACAGAGCGCTGGGGGTGACCCTAAAACACCTGTGCCTGCCCACAGCCCTCCCGCCCACACTCCCTGCCCTGCTTCTTTTGTAAGGAAGGTCAGGGAAGCCCTGGGGGGAAGAGGGCTCTGTGCTGAGACCTGAGGGACCCACAGGAGGGCCTGCAGCCACGGGAGCGAAGGTCACGGGGTGGGGTGAGCCGGGCCTGTGCAGTACCAGAGGAGGCCAGAGAAGCGGGGGAGCACTGGGGATGCCCTTGGGCAGGGGCTGTGGGACTCCTAGGTCTCATTCCAAGAGCAACTGTAGGCTACTGGCCACCTGGAGGGGCAGGGGTTGGCTCAGCAGGATGTGCGGCCCAGGCCCTCCCCACCCCCTCTCTGCATGCCCCGCCCCTAAGCCTTCCACCTCCTCTCCAGTCTCCAGGCTACACCACTCAGACCCTGCAGCCACAGCCACGGCCGCAGCCCACCCTCCTCCCCAGCGGGCCACCGCACCTCAGGCAGGTTGAACCTCAGGTGGTTGCACATGATGTTGAAGTGCTGCTGCAGCTCCACGCCTTCCACGCCTTCCACGCCTTCCACGTAGTGTGCCAGGAAGAGCCTAGGATAGCCCAGGTGGACGTGTAAGCCGGCGGGCAGTGCCACGGACAGGTTGTGGGTCTCGGCAAAGCGGTAGAGGATGTTGAGGACCGTGCTGCTGGCCGTCTTGTGCGTCTTCAGGAACATGATGTTGGTCACGGGCGGCCCCTTGGCCTGGCCCCCAAACAGGCTGGGAGGGAAGGCACAGGCCACCATCAGCAAGGGTGCAGATGCCCCGATCCCCGCTCAACAATGAACCCCAGCCCGGCAACCGCAACGAGAGACCTCCCAACCTGAGCCCCCCAACTCTAGGCCAGGGGCCCACTGGGTAAACACAGAACCATGGCCCCAAGCCTTGCCCCACTCCACAACCTCCCATCTGGTGGCCCGAACACAGACTCCCCCAACTGTCTTCCATAACCATGCTCCCCAACTCTGTGCCCCTGAGAACTAAAAATAAAACCCTACATGAAACCCAACTTGGCCAAGGGGACCCCAGACACACCTTAAAACTGAGTTCCCAGCAGTGATGGGATGGGAGGTCAGACCCATCCCATCATCACACCCCCTCCCCTTTGCGGTTTAGACACAGCAACTGCCCAGTGTGAGTGTTAAATAGAGACCATGAAGAAAATGTGGCACGTATATACCATGGAATACTATGTAGCTATAAAAAAGAATGAGTTCATGTCCTTTGCAGGGACGTGGATGAAGCTGGAAACCATCATCCTCAGCAAACTAACAAAGGAACAGGAAACCAAACACCACATATTCTCACTCATAAATGGGACTTGAACAATGAGAACACGTGGGCACAGGGAGGGGAACAGCACATACCAGTGCCTGTCGGGGGGGTGGGGGCAAGGAGAGGGAAAGCATTAGGAGAAATACCTAATGCATGCGGGGCTTGAAACCCAGATGACTGGTTGACAGGTGCAGCAAACTGTCAGGCCAATGAGCCCAAGCTAAGCCATCATATCCCGTGACCTGCACGTAAACATCCAGATGGCCTGAAGCAACTGAAGATCCACAGAAGTGAAAATAGCCTTAACTGATGACATTCCACCATTGTGATTTGTTTCTGTCCCATGCAAAGGAGATCAATGTCCTTTGTAATCTCCCCCACCCTTTAGAAGGTTCTTTATAATCTCCCCCACCCTTAAGAAGTTTCTTTGTAATTCTCCCCACCCTTCAGAATGTACTTGGTGAGCTTCACCCCCTGCCCCCAAAACCTTGCTCTTAACTTCACCGCCTGTCCCAAAACCTATAAGAACCAATGATAATCCCACCACCCTTTGCTGACTCCTTTATCGGACTCAGCCCGCCTGCACCCAGGTGAAATAAACAGCCATGTTGCTCACACAAAGCCTGTTTGGTGGTCTCTTCACACGGACGCGTGAGACACAAACCACCATGGCACGTGTATACCAGTGTAACAAACCCGCACGTTCTGCACCTGTGTCCCAGAACTTAAAGTAAAATTTTTCTTTTAATTAAAAAATGAAAAGAGACCAATAGCCCAGCAGAACCGACTGTGGCCATAAGACACCAAATTATCAACAGGGTCTGAGGCCACACCAGGCAGGGGCTAAGTCACGCACACTGCACTTAAAGCAGAAACCAGGTTCTCCCTGCCACAAGCTTTTCTTTGTCTCTGGCAGCCAAACGCTGGCCTTGAGATGAACAACGTTAAAGCAGGTGCAGCTCACCCCCGCCAGACGCTGCCTCGCTGACCCCTGCTCCACCAGCCAGAACCACAGCTGCAATCGGACAAAAGCCTCATCTCAGTAACTGTCTCCTGAGCAGGGACCCCCAGCCCCGAACCGGTTCTGGCGGTTTACAGAGGCTGCGCACCGAGTGCTTTCCGTCCCAGCTTCACCTTCTGACGTGCAGGGCCTAATTGTAACGCAGTTAGATGTGCAGTCTCCACCCCAAGGTGAACGTGGGTCACATGTAACACACGTGTTTGTTCAGGACACATGCGTCAGGACCCCCTTTACGAATATCCACAGCTCCTCCCGTCACTTGCTGAACGTGTACTTGGCCAAGCCATTCAGAGTATGTCCCTGTCCCACCCCCTCCCTCGAAGTGTCCGCTCACAGCCTTTCAACGGCTGTGCTCCCAGCCTGTGGGATGTCCACACTTTGTAAGAAACAAAGTCTCCTTTCCAAATTTATAGATGTCATGATTCTTCAGCTGACACCCCCAACCCTGGAACCCCCACCAGATCCGTCACTGCGCCCCAACCTACAGACCCTCAGCCCCGGCCTCAGGGCCCCACAGAGACCGTGTCCTCAGACCCACCTCTGTTTCCCTCAGGGGCTACACCCTCTGGCCCACACGTCACCCCAACCTTCTCCCTGGTGTCCAGGCGTGCACGTGCAGCTGGCCCTGTGACCTCATGCGACATCATGTGACCTCATGTGACCTCAGCCACACATGCGGTGTTTCTTGGCAGTCCCTTCACACCAGGAAAAGGAAGGACCCCAAAGCCGAGACTGGCGGCCAGATGTAGGGCTGGAGTAGACGCTGGGCCCACTCTTGGAACCCCCTCACAACACCTACCCAGTGGGCCTGGAGTAGCAGGCGCCCTCCCTGCCCCAGAGCAGGGCCAGCAGGAGTGACCAGGATGGTGGGGTCAGGGTCTCCAGGCCTAACCAGCCTGGGCGACGCGGGTGAGCAAAGACAGGGCCCTTGGGACCTGTCTCCGGCAGCTCAGCTCGGCCCAGAGGGGACTGGTGCTTCCTCTCTCTTCCAACCAGAGGGGCTGGGGAGTGGCAGGGCCTGGAAGACCCTCCCAGCAGCCTGGCTGAAGCCCTGTCTGCAGGCACAGCTGGGCTGCGAGGTGGGCACCTCCATGCACAGGGGCTCCACAGAGGATGTACCACAGGCGGGCAGAGGAGAGGGTCTCCAGGCGGGCCCAGGGCTGCGAGGTCTGTCCTGAGCACAGTTCTGACCTCTTCCTTCCCAGATCCCAGCCCAGGCCCAGCCCAGGCCCACAGGCCACCTCTGTTTTGGGGAGCAAGAAGGAGGCCTCCAGCCCTGCCCGCCACATTAGGGACCCTCTGCACACACTAGCTGGCTCTGCCCCCAAACCCAGACCCGGCCCCTGCTCCCCAGAGCCCTCCCCAGAGGCCCAGGCAGGTTTGTGGTTAACAGGAGACTGTCCGGGTGCCCCCGAGGAAGGGCCCATCTGTCCCTCCTCTTCCAGAGGGATTCAGGCCCAGTGGGGAGGTGTGACCATGCTGGGGTCCCGGGCTCTGCCCTCGGGGCTGTTAGGAGGCGCCTGCCCGGGGCAGGACTTACGGTGGCGGCAGGACTTACGGTGAGACAAGCTCTAAGTCCGTGAGAAGGAATCTGGCCAGCACCAGCAGAGTCAGGCCCAGGAGGAGGAGGAGGATGACCCGGAAGTACCTGTGGAAATGGCAGCCCATGAGTGCCCAGGCCGGGCTGTGCCAACCCCTCCCCACCTCCCATCCTTCGGCCAAGCCCAGGTCCTTGGGCCACACAGGTCTGGGCCTCCCCTCATCTTTGTAACGTCTTGTCCTCAAATCCACTGGGTGCTGGCCCAGGGGTTAGGGGGTCTCAACCCAGGACAGGCCTGAATCTGATCCCACCCTGACCACCCTTGAATGGCTCAGGGCTGGAAAGAGCCTAGTGGATGAGCCATCCCCTTCCCTGGGGTTCGGGAGCTGACAGGGCTGCGCTCCTGGGACCAGAGGTGGGAGCAGGTCAGGGGACCTCTACCCAGGCAGGGCCCCTTGGGAGACTGTGATGGGACGGCGACCCTGAGCTCTGCACCCCAGGGGATCTGGAGAGGCCGAGAGTTTGGTGCAATGGACTGTGCGCCCCCAGAATCCACGGGCCAAACCCCTAACACACAGCGTGGCGGTGCCTGGAGGTGGGCCTCTGGGACATGTCAGGGTTGGACGAGGTTGTGAGGGCGGGTGGAGACCCTGTAATGGGATTCGTGTCCTTCTGAGACAAAGAAGACACCAGAGTGCAGCTTCCACTCCCCACCCTCACTCCCCACATGGGGGCACAGAGAGAAAGTGGCACCTGCAGGCCAGGAGGGGGGCCGTCCCTAGGAACCCGCCATGCTGGCTTGAGGTCACGCGCCTTCCGGCCTCCAGAACCGTGAGAAGCACATGTCTGCTGCTGGGGCCATCCTGTCTGTGGTGTCTGCTGTGGCAGCCCGGGCTGACTGGGCCTGAAGGAAGCATGATGCCTCCAGACAGGGAGGCGGGGCCCACACGAGGATGCCTGAGGACGCCTGGCCTGGGTCCCAGGAACCCGGCAGGTGCAGCCAAATCAGGGAAGAGCAGATCTGGATAAGTCCTGACCGCAGAGCCAGGGTCCCCCATCCACTGGGCAAAGCCCCCCATCAGGTGATAGCAGCAAAGAGGCCCCTCAATGATGGGGTGGGGCTACCACGTGGGCCGGGTTCCCTCAATGATGGCGTGGGGTGCCACGTGGTCCGTGGTCCCTCAGTGATGGGTTGGGGGTGCCACGTGGGCCATAGTGTCTCGGTGCAGGTCAGGCACAGGCTACAAGGGAAGCAGACACCACAGCTGCACTCGACAAGCTCAGCATCTGGAGAGGACACAAGGGGTGAGCTTCCTGCTTGGACTGGGGCCTTTGCATGGGGCTTTACAGGGTACATAGGAGCACAACAAGCCAGTGGGGAAGCAGGAATTGTAACCAAGGCAAAGCGGGGCAAGAAGCCCAGCAGCTGGAGGAGAGGGCAGGTGGCAGGTGGGCCGGGGGCTGGGGGTGCTAGAACAGCAGGGAGGCAGGACCCAGGCCCAGTGCGACGTCACTCTTCACCCTCCCGGGGCATGGAATTGGGTTAGGATCTGCCCCGCTGCTCAGTGGTCACACGACCATTCATGCTCTGCCTGGGAGAAGAGGGGAGGGCTGGGTTGGCTCTGCCCTGCCCCACTGGCCCCTGCCCAAGAAGAGTTCCTGACAGGCAGGTCCTCACTCCCACACGCTGGCCCAGCACTCCTCTCCTTTTGGGGAAAGGAGATGATTTTTGCATAAAACAATCTTGAATTTTAGCATAATCTCCAAGAAGAGAATTTTTAACTAAGAAGTCACTTCTAAAGTTCAAATAGACAAAAAACATACAGTGATGGCCAGAAAAATTCTAAACAGTCATGATAACGAACATCGGCTCTCCCAGATCTACTCCATAGATCACAATCAGTTCCATATGGGTCAAAGATTTAATGTAAAAAAATAAAACCACCGAAGTCAGAGGATAAAAGAGAATGAGGCTGCCGTCTAAGCAAGACACAAAACCAAAAGGTTATGAAGAAAAGAAAGACAAATCGGGCAAACATGTAATGTTTCAGGCCAGGCACGGTGGCTTACGGCTGTAATCCTAACATTGTGGGAGGCAGAAGTGGGAGAATTGCTTGAGCCTAGGAGCTTGAGGCCAGCCTGGGCAATATAGTGAGAACCCATCTCTGCTTCTTGAAACATGGCTGTTGGAATGTTTCAAGGATGGCTGCGCCAGGGTGGCCAGGTGCATTCTGACAGCAAACAGGGGCAGCCCTCAGGACCTCAAGCCCCCCGCAGTCCCCTCACCCTGCATGGGACCTCAAGGCACCCCTGGGGCTGTGGCCACAGCAGGGAGCTGGCAGGCAAGGCTCTGGTCAAAGTGCCTGCCCCACTCAGCCACTAGCTGACCCGCATGGGGCCAGCTCAGGGCCGCCAACAGCCCAGCCCCTCACGGGAACCACCAAGTAGTCCACACTGGAACCTCCAGCTCCAAGACTGCAGCTTTCAACAGAACCACTTCGTATGACATCTTGTCTCTTTCTTCCACACCAAGGGTGTGGGTCTCGAAGACACTGGGGATGGTAGAACCAGGAACTCCCATAATATTTCACACTTCATCCTCACGGCACACACGGCACCTCAGACACCAATGCCGGTGCCACCACCGTGGCTCTACCACAGCCACGCTTCTAGGAGACGGGACAGGAGCTTCCGGCCCTCCCATCACCTCCACTCGACAATTCTTCAATGCACCCTCCAGTCCTTAGTCAAAATGGAACCACCTTGAAGAGGCTCCCAACGGCCAAGGCCCATTAAACACTAGAATCCTCAGGCACAGGGAGGGGAGCGTGAGGGGCCGCAGAGCAGAGAGGGCCATGCACCCCAGGCAGGGTCAGGGTCCCGCTGGAGACACCCACAGCTTCGTGAGAGAGGACATGTTTTCCCACACCCAGACGAGGCCCCACACTGACCGCGGAGCTCCTGCTCTGCCGTTGGGTCCCTTCTGCGGACTCCCCAAGACCCTCCCCGGGAGAGTGGCTGCACGGGGTGGGAAGGGCAGTTGTACGGCTCCGCACAGTTAGAGATTAACCCACTGATAAGGCCCGGGGTGGGAAGGGCAGTTTTACGGGCTCCTCACAAGGCCCGCGCAGGACACCAGCAGGGTCTCTCAGCTGCCACTCTTGGCCATCACTTCCGTTCAGCTATAGTCAACTCCTTCCTCAAACACCCTGCACCTTTATGGCCCCTCACTCTGCACCTTTATGGCCCCTCACTCTGCACCTTTATGGCCCCTCTGCACTTTTATGGGAGACACTGGCTATCTGTTTGAAAGCTGCTTTCACACTTACAACACCCACCTTGGCCTTGGGGCAACATGAATCGTCTCTGTTCTTTGCAACTGCCCAATTAAAACAATGACGTCTCCAGAGAAATGCCACAGCTTTCTCAAGGTGGGCTCTTCCCTTGCCAAAGGACCTGCTAGTCCCACACCTGCAGGGATCAGGTAGGGTGGTCATTGTTGGAGCAACCAGGAAGGGGGCCCAGGAGGTGAATCCAGCCACAGGTGCACTTGACCGACCCAGAGGACTGTGGGGCAGTAAATGGGTGATGTGTTCCACCAAGCAGAGAGACGGTGTTTCTGTCCTTACACCAGGAGTTACACATTGTTACACATTCTTTAAGGAGAGCCCGTGGCTGCACTACTGTGAATTTACTAAAAACCACTGAATTGTGCACTGTAATTGGGTAAATTCTTTAGTATGTGAATTGCATCCTAATAAGCCTGTTAAAAAAGTAAAAAATCAATTCAAAATGTTAAAGAGTTCAGCTGCTACAAAACTTGAAAGCTAATGATTGTGGGGGAAAATGAAATATTGCCAAAAATTATAAACCATTTGACATTGCTTCCAAGTGCCTTTAGCTTTTAGGGGCTTCGTAAAGTCCCCAAGGACTCTCCCCTCAAGCTGAAGCTGCCTTATGGGACTCACACTGTGGGGACTGCGGCCAGGCCCTGCTACCTTTGCTCTAGGGGTTGCCAGAGTAGCTCAGTGGTTCCCAAAGGGCCTCAAACTTCCTGCTGTTGGGGCCTCGGGGCTTGGAGGCCACTGACCTGCTGCCTCCTTGGGAGCGCCCAGAAGATCTGGCTTTCCGGCTCTGGGCAGGTTGCTGGGACCGATGGTTCTTGATCACGCAGGGCCATCGGGGGCCACAGTGCACCCGCCCCGGACAGATGGCCCTGGCAAGTCCCTGAGGCTCCCAAAAGAAAGAGCAGAGAGGCCAGGGAGGCACTGGCCCAGTTCCAGTGGGGACAGAGGGGACGGCTTGAGGCACCAGGCCCAGGCCCCGGCCCTGCGAGTACAACTCAGTGACCTGTGAGTGCCTGCAGGACAGCAGTTCCCAGGGCATTCAGAGAGAATTCTACAACTTCTGAGTAAGAACCAACAAAATATCTAAAATTAGGAGTAATAAAAGTCTTGGGCAGGTGTGGGGGCTTACACCTGTGATCCCAGCACTGTGGGAGGCTGCGGTGGGAGGATCAATTGAGTCAAGGAGTTCAAGACCAGCCTAGGCGATATAGTGAGGCCGCCATCTCTATGGAAAATACAAAAATTAGCCGGGTGTGGTGGCTTGAGACTGTGGTCCCAGCTACTCAAGAGGCTGATGCAGGAGAATCACCTGAGCCAGGGAGGTTGAGGCTACAGTGAGCCTTGATCTCACCACTGCACTCCAGCCCGGGTGACAGAGCCAGTCTCTGTCTCAAAAAAATAAACAAACAACAACATGGCCAGGCGCGGTGGCTCAAGCCTGTAATCCCAGCACTTTGGGAGGCCGAGACGGGCGGATCATGAGGTCAGGAGATCGAGGCCATCCTGGCTAACATGGTGAAACCCTGTCTCTACTAAAAAATACAAAAAGCTAGCCGGGCGAGGTGGCGGCGCCTGTAGTCCCAGCTACTCGGGAGGCTGAGGCAGGGGAATGGTGGGAACCCGGGAGGCGGAGCTTGCAGTGAGCTGAGATCCGGCCACTGCACTCCAGCCTGGGCAACAGACCGAGACTCCGTCTCAAAAAAAAAAAAAAAAAAAACACACGCCTTAAGACATCCTATCTCCAGCTCAGGGAACTTCTGGTTTTGGAAACCTTGATGACTGTGAGGAAGACTCACGCAAATTCTTATGGCGATGGTTTTTCACACTCCAGGATTAAACACACACACACACACACAATACAAACACACACAACACACACACATACACATACACATACACAATACACAATACACACACAATATAAACACACACAATACACACACATACACACACACAATACACATACACAATACACACACATACATATACACACACATGCATACACAATACGTACATACACACAAAATACACACACATACATATACACACACACATGCATACACAATACGTACATACATACACAATACACACACATACACACAATACACACACATACACACAATACACACACACACACAATACACAATACACACATACATACATATACATACATACACACATACACAATACATACACACAATACACACACATACATACATACATGCATACACAATACATATGCACACATACACAATACACACACATACACACACATACACACAAACAATACACAATACACACATACATACACATACACACGTACTCACATACACAATATGTACATACACACACATAATATACAATACACAAACACAGATACACAATACACACACAATACACACATACACACAATACACAATACACATAGTACACACATACATACATATACACACATACACATATGCATACACATATGTACTTACACACATACACACTACATACATACACACAATACACAATACACATAGTACACACATACATACATATACACACATACACATATGCATACACAATATGTACATACACACATACACACTACATGCATACACACACATACACAATACACACACATACACAATACATGATACACACACACAACACACACACAATACACATACACACAATACACACATACATACACAATACGCACATATACACATACACAATACGTATGCACACAATATGTACACACAATACATACACATACACACACATATACACACATACACATATATGCACACATATACACATATACATGCGTACACACATACACAATACACACATACATATACACACATACACAATATGTACATACACACAATACACACACATACACATACATACACAATACGCATACACAGATATACATACATACACACACACATACACACATGCATATACAATACATATATACACACACAATACACACACACACACATACATACATACACATACACACACACGGACACACATATCCCCCTGCAGTTCCTTCTGACCAGCTCACTGGATGAACTTTATGGCAAAATAAACTTTCTAAATTAACTGAAACCTGTCTCAAATTTGGGATGTTCATAGGCTTCAGTTAGTT